AAGGACTTCAGACTGGACCTTTACTTCGAGGGCAGCAGGAGCTCCTGGAAGTAACTGCTGTGCTTGAGAAAGATCACTCTGTAGTGTGGCCCATACTGGAGGGGGCACGATGGAGGCCGGGAGGCCAGTGAGGAGGCCCCAGCAGCAACCAGCCTCTCCCCCGACCAACCTTCCCCAGCCAATCCCTCCCCCTCGGACACGGGACACAGGCTATGTCCACTGCAGCTCCCAAAGAATCGCCGGCGTGTCCCCTCTGCCAGGAACACCCCTCAATCTTACACACCTGGGCTTGAACACCTGCTCCAAGCACCTTCTTCCATGAAGCCCCCGTCTCCACAATGCCTGGAACTCTGGCCAAGACCGGACACACTCAACCCTGAGTCCTAAAGCTTAGGCTCTCTTTCCCCCCAGCTTGGTCTCCCTCTGCTCTTCTTCGTGGGGACAAGTGTCACCAAAGACACTGCCAGACACTCCTTCCCTCATGGTCCCCCGAACACCAGCCAGGGCCTCCACCCGAGGATCGGCATCCTGCCTATACCTGGCATGAGCTCCCACTAGTCCCCTCTGGGGACCACCAGCGTCTCAGTCCCCCACTGGGCTGTGACCTTGGAGGCAGGTGCATTAAGCACAGGACTTTGAAATGGTGGACCCTTGGAAAAGAGCTGGTGGGCCCGCGAGCCAACAGGCCGCTCCCACGGGAATGCTGCCCTGCGTGCACGGCGCCACTGGGTCCCTGCCTGTGGGGCCACGAGTCAGAAGTGGAGGCAAGACACAGGTCGCTGTTAAAGCAACGAGGTGTACATGTGGACTGCCACGGAAAGAGCGGTGACAACTGGTGGCAGTGGCAGCTGGCACGTGTCAGGATAAGTACTGCTCTCAGCTTCACAGGTCTGTGTGGATTAACACATGACACCCACACCACAGTCCTATGAGGCCCCACTGTTCTCCCGTTGTACAGACAGGCACACTGAGGCACAGGGTGGTACACAGTAGAGCAAGGTCAACTGGGAGCACCTCACCGTAGACCTTGCCAAGGCAACAGGAAAGGGAAGAGGGAGCTGAGGTGTGTTCTCATCTGGGGCAAAATAAAACCATGTATTTGTGTACTTGACACATGTATCTGTAAGTGAACAGCAAACCAATTTAGTGGGTCACAACCAGCAATTAAAAAAAATCAAACATACTAGAACAGAAAGTGCCAGATGAGAGGACAGAACAGTAAAAAGTTATTTCACTGAACTGTCCAAGTGTTTCAGTTATACGCCCTGGGCGTGAATGGAATTGTGACCTAACGTGTATTTCTCACCATTGGTCACAGGTGAGAGTTTAGAAGCCATGGGTCTAAGGATCTAAGGAGGAATAAGCAGGGGCCCCCGCCTGCAGGAGCCTCCTGGTCCCCAGGGAGAGAAAGATGGTTCCAGAGCTGGTGACCTCCCTCTGCTTAGGAGGTTAGAGGGGCGGCTGGCAGTCGGGAAAGGTCCCTCCACCAGGCTTCTGGGGCCCAGGTCACCCCAGACACATTGTCCATCCCTCAAGGCTTTTTGCTTGTGAGAGTCTTAGCCAGGGTTTCAGGGTTGAGCCTCCCCCAAACCAGAATGCCTGTGTCCACTCCTCTGTGTTACCCCAAAGGCCACTTCTCCCAAGGATGCCCTCCTGGACGTTCCTGGGGCCCACACTCCCCTCGGTGGTCAAGGGGGAGGGGTGGGAAACGAGAAGATTCCTTCCAACTTCCAGATCCCGAGGCCACGTCCCAGGGAAGCCTCTGGAAACGCAGCTGTGTGGTCAGTCGGGAGGGGCCTCCGCCGAGTCTGCGGCAGGACTGCCCCCACCCCCTACCCCGGGGTGCGCCTGGCCCTGGGCAGAGCCAGGTCTGAACAGACGGCGCTCTGAGGGGACAGAAGCAGAGTCCCCAGCCTGGCGCTGGCGCCCCCACATCAGAGCCGCCTCACCCACCCCGCCTCCCCTCCCAGGGCAGCAGACAACTAAAAAAAGATAAAATAAAAAGTAATTCCCCTGCTCTGACGTCAGGGCGAGGTCTTAGCAGCCCAGCAGCGGCATGAAAACTGGATTGCAACCAGATGTAATGCCCTTGAAGCCTCAACACGCTGCTGCGTTGGAAGACAAATGGGGGGAGGTGGCACTTTGGGCGGAGGGAACTGTGCGGATCCCGCGTGGGTCCTTAAATCAGAGCCTCTGAAACCCGGGCCCTCAGGGCCCGGGTCGCCATTCAGGCGCGCGGCCTCCACTCCCCCCAGCCCCCCAATAGCGCATTGTTACACTCGGCGTCTCCATTCGGCCGAAGCCCCAGCCCGCCCCCCAGTCGGGAGCTCCCAGAGGAGGGCACGGCTCGGGCCGCACTCCGGCTCCCGGCGTGGATTTGAGGACCGAGAGCCCGAAAAGGGAAACCGCTCACTGGGAAAACGGGCGCCCCAGGAAGCTGGGGCCTCCGCGGCCTCGGGCCTGGCTGGTGTTTCGCTTCCCCTCCGCCCCTCCT